GGGCTATCTGCTGTGTCCACTGTGTTTGTAGATTTACCGCTGTGCTACCGGTGGATGTTATTACTGAGAACTTAGTAATTTTAAACTGTTTCAAACAGAGGAGCCGAAATAATAAGTTCAAACTGAATTATTTTTTAATGAGTTTTTTTTTTCAAAAGACAGCTGAAATTAGAAATAACGCTTACGAACTTCATATCTGCTTTTACCGAAAATTCTTTTATGAGGAACGTCCTGAAGAAGTTATATATGACAGTAGAAAACATTGTGCTATCAATTGACTATATTTCAGATATCATAGAAAAGCTCAATTATTTGTCTTTATACTACCCAGTTTTAAATTTTACAAGTCAGCGTATTAGGATTGCCTCGGAATAAAGATGGCGCCATTAAACGTAATAAAACAGAATTATATTTTAATTAGCAAAGTTTTCAAAGTTAACATTTTAGGGTTACTTTGGAGTAAAGATGACACTATTAAATGAACTAATATGAGATTATATTTTAATAAACAAAGTTTTATAAGTTAACATTTTAGGGTTACTTTGGAGTAAAGATGACACTATTAAATGAACTAATATGAGATTATATTTTAATAAACAAAGTGTTATAAGTTAACATTTTAGAATTAGTTTAATAATGACACAATTAAATGTAGAGTTATAGTTTAATCAGCGAAGATTACTTTAATTTCTATCACTTTCATGTTTTCTTGAGTACATGGATGACCGCTATTTCTCCGTTCTTTTTCCAGGTGTCCGACCTTACAGATGCGCGCTGTGCGAAAAGTCGTTCACTCAGCGCTGTTCTCTGGAATCGCACACTTTGAAAGTACATGGAATACAACACAAGTACGGTTACAAAGAGCGGAGGACCAAGGTATACGTGTGTGAGGAGTGTGGCCACATCACGAGCGACCCGGAAGTCCATTACGTTCATTTGAAAGACAACCACCCATATAGCCCGGCTCTCCTCAAGTTCTATGATAAGCGTCATTTCAAATTTCCTGACGGTGTATTCCCAATTGGTCTAATGCGCATGCACTCCTAGAGAACACTGAAATTCGAAAGCTAAATGCCTCTCTTTGTTGTTTAAAGGTTGGGAAATTATTTTTAAAACCGGAAATAATTTTGTCGAGTTGAAAACAAGAAAAATCATGTATATTCGAATAACCAATATTGTACAAAGGTATAGACTGTGATAATTTTTTTAAAGAATCAGGTAATCAGCATTACTTGTGTGATCAATATGTTTACATTTTAACAAGGTATATAACATCGTTTTGTAAATAATCGGAAATCTACTCAGCTTTAAGTACACGTGTTTGGCTATCACGCACTGCACGACCACCCCTGAGTTTTGGTGGGTAAAATCTGACTTGAAGAATGTCTCTGTATTCCTACTAAGTACAAAACGGACTAAATTATTTTAGAATTGTTAACATTTAGAAAGAGACAGATTTGTGTAAGAAGTATGTAAGTCAATTTTTTGTATATGTGTTATTATTTTTTTGTCTGTAATATGTGATGCTACCATAATAAAAATTAAAAGCTTGGGTAATTGGCTTTATGCCATTTTGAATTCCCAGTTCTTAGTAAGAAGTAATCCAAGGACAGAATTCGTAGCTCCGTAAAAAGCAAAATTATGTTTTTCATTGTATATACACAGTATATCACTACAGTGTCTCAAAAACACAGTTTAGGCTTATTTTTAGAGTCGATGTGCTCACTTTAACACCACAGTACCAAAAAAAACAGAAGAAGATATGTGTTATTAGTCTCGTTATGTACAGTTCAAGACACATAAGAAATATATTTTTATTAAGTCTGTATGACCGCTAACTCATGTTTTATAATATACAAGCAAAAGCACCCGTCCCCAGTGACGGAAAAAGCTTAAGTTAATCTATCAACTTAAGTTATATCATGGAGTTTAAATGGGTTAATTGTGTTGCGCTCTTGGTTTCACTCTGATCTACTTATACCGCCCACCGCGAAAAGTAATTGTTGAGCATTTCAGTCATGTTAAGAGCCGCTCAACAATAATGTAAATCTACGTTTTTATTCTTTGAGTTACGCCACGTTTTAAAAAGTGAATGATAGTGTAATTAATTCCTAACAATTTAGTGTAGAATATCCTGCTTGCGAAATCAAATTTGGCATCAACATTATTCATGTCTGTTCTCCTGTCATTTCAAAAGTGAATGTTGAGCTTTGCCTGAGTGCGCAGCTTTTCAAACGCAGCTTGGGAAGCGGTCACCGTAAATGGGAGACAGACGTACTCTCGGACAGACAACACGGTTCGCAATATATATAAGATTGTTAACGTTTATGTTCTGCAACTACGAAAACATACTGGTTAAAAAATTATGTTCCTAGTATTTATACACACTTTAAGTCTATAATGCCTCGAATACAGAGTTAAAGTTTTGTTTTTTTAAATTGGACGATCTTGGTGTTTTTTAAAGATTAAAATGTAAAAACAAAATCAGTCTATTTTGGGAATATTTGCTCTGATTATTTCTTATACTATTAAATAGTGAAAACTAGATATTTTATATTTATGTATTATTCCCAAAATAAATGATATTAAGCACGGGAGGGGAACAACTGTTCTACCAAGAGAAATATTACGTTCTTCCTGTTATGACAATCTGTGGTTTTCTGAAAAAAAAATCCAAAATGAAACATAAAGTACCAAAAAATATATAAACTTTGCGCCAACTTTCCATTTATCCAACTAGTGGAAGGGAGATGTTACAGTTGGAAGACCATGTCTCTGGGATATTGAATGTGAACTGCTTATTGGTACATTTGTATAAAAAAGTAGCTTAACTTGTAATTATAAACACTTCTAGTTAAACAGTCCTCAACTCATACAATAGAATATCCATTATTATCATATATACACGTTAAAAATGTATTTTCTTTTTTCACCACAAGTGATACTGAAAATAGAATATGTGACGTAGAAGCCTAAAGCATTACTTTGATTCGCCATATCCTCTACTGTAAACTGCAGTTACGCCTATTCAACGTTCATCAGCACAGCTTGGGCCAGGAAATAAAACACAACAACAACAACATAAACGTTATTTCATTCCGATCCCGGGAGGACCAGCGGGCCGGTAGAGGGTTACGCCCTCTCGTCAGCCAAGGGACGAAAAAAGAAAAAATGGGTAAAATGAATAATGGATGGGTAAGCGTGCAAGTCATCACAGGAGGCGGAAAATGCGATATTTGCAGATGGAGGAGACAATCCGGAGAAATATGGGCGAACACTAACCAGTCTAATAAAACAAAAC